GAGTTGGTTACAACTCAGATTTGCACAGCAAATTAACCCACATCTTTTTTACCGCAGATTACGGTGGAAACTTAAAGCAAACTGTCATTGCGAAATATCTGTCTCTAAGATCTTTTCAAAACCCGGAAATATGTAAAAATGGTGCTCACGCCCTCTAATCTTATTAGTAAACTTGTCACAAGTCCATTGAAGTGTTCTGAAGCAAGTGGCACAGTTTTAGACTAGTTTTTGAAGCAGAAACTATCTTATTAGCCAGAAGGCCGCTAGGTATACACTAGGTTGTGGCAGAATTATAATAATTCAAGTCAGAAGTGCTTTCTCAAAGCTGCTTTTCCCAAGTATATGTCCCCTGCTACCAAATTCCTAAGCTTTCTGAAAGTTTTCTTTAGATACAGAAATACCGTTTCCCAGCTACTCATTTCATAAAGCTATAGCCGTTTGAAGCAAAAGTTTTGAAAAAAATCGTTTCTTGCGTTTAAATCTCTTCCTTGCTGGTGCTCGTAGTTACAATTATGTTAGGTACAAGTATTAGTTTAATCATTATTAAGATGAAGCTTATTGCTAGTTAACACGCTCTAAGAGACTCCGTGGAACTCCCGTCAGTTGTATTGCAACTTGAAATTCTTGCGGTAATCCCTGCGGTGACAAAAAGCTTTCAGCGATTTGTTATTATCTGTAAGTCTAGGATGTAAAGCGGTTTTACAAGATGGCAGCCAAGAGTCCAAAAAATACCTTGAGGTTGAGAGTTATTGAAAAATCAATTTACACTTGACGCTCTTTATAACATGAGCAATGAGTGACATATGATTGTTTCGTAGTTGGCGTTTCATCGAGAGAGAATTCACCACTGTAGTACTTTTTGCGATAGCACTCACAAATATATAATTCTGCTACCTCCATATGATTTTGGGTGAATCAGCTGTGAACTTTTTCAGCAAGTTTTGTTCCAGCCAAAGAACACCTTTCCTTGCGGTGTTGGTTCTGATAAGAGCTTATCGCTAAGAACGCTTTCCATAAGCGATATTTGTGCTATATTGCACAATATGTGTCATGTCCCAATCGGTGGCATTCTGCTTTCCTCATTGTTATGTTCAATTTCGTGTCATTTTCACTTGCCAAATTTTGTTTTGCTGGCAGCGAAGAGGCATGGGTACCATTCCAATAGGTACAAAATTCAGATTTGATATACAGTACAGCAGCTACTCCGTGATCGTAACCTTTGCCCCATTCTTTTGGAGTTGGTTTCTCCCCGGTAGGCCGGCTAAAGTTGGCCAATATAAAGGCTACTGCATGACGAAGGCGCAGAAACAGTATAAGTTGAGCGTTTGCGAATGCGAGTGCTTTATCAACCCTTGGCTAGCTTCTCGATCCCCTCTAGAGTTTTACAAGCAAAATCGCAGGATGAGAAAGACACACCTTTGCTTCACCGCCGGTGCACTTGATGTTATGGTGCGACCGTATCCTTGATGACAGTAGTGCCAATAAGTCACGTTTAGTGACTTGTAGATGAAATCATCGCACTACCCTATCATAGCCCACATAATGATAAAAACGGCATGAAGTCATTTGTAACGGCTATGCACTTATAACTAGCACCACAAACTAAACACTCTAACTGATATATCACTCCTGTTTTAGCGCAATCTCCGATGCTGTTATGAGGACAAACTACGCACTCTTTCGAGATACAGTATTTGTCATAGAGCCCGTTTCGTACAAGCCGTTTCTTCAGATTATCGCTCGGAACGTTCACTAAAATGACATCGCTGCTCAACTGTGTTCGTTTAATGCTCTGTCGTATTGCAACACTAATTTCATCTGAGACGAAAGGAAGACAGAGCGCTATTTTGTTGTTTTGCTGAGCAGCATTACGCAAAGAACATGGTCTACCATGAGTATGATGCATCAGATAGCCATTTCCTTTCGCAATGCTCAGCGCGACATTTCGCGACTCTTTCTGTCCTTCTGCTCCCGTACAAACTTGTGTTGCTGTTCTTATCATATTTCGAATGATGGCATTCTTAACGGCCGATGGATGTGCCGAACGAGCATGCAACAGGATGTTTTTAGAGCTGCTTTTATGATACCATTTAACATTTGCGCTACGGCCAGACAGTTTGATCTGAACGTTCAAGTACGGAAGCCAACCGTCAACCGGCTGTTCACGCGTGAACCTTATGTACTACGATTGCTGATTGAGCAAACGGAAACACTCGTCCATTTCGGACTGAGTAGATGTTACTATGCAGCAATCGTCCACGTAACGACAGTACATAAGTGGAAGTCTTGACAGCACAGGTTTCTCGACCTTATTCATAAAGCATATCGCAAGTGCTAGAGCAAGCCTTTGTCCCATTGCAAGTCCCCTTAGTTGAGCGAAGTAGGTACCTGACCATCGAAAGATATTACAATCTAGACATTCTTTGATCAGGACCATGATGTGACGTTTGCTCAATCCAAAGGTCTGAACACTTGCACTAAATTCATCCAACATTTCGGATACCGCTTGTAAGGCGTCGTCATTCTGTACGTTAGTATACAAGGATATCACGTCAAATGATTCAGCCACGCAACCATAATAAGTTGTGTTGGAGGTCCAACCGACAGAATATCTTGGTTTCTGAACAGAATTGTGGGGCAATTACTGGACAAGATACCTTCCCATTTAGCAAACACTAAACAATTCCTCGACCGCTTGAAATCCACCAATTTTGAAAATGGTTGCGTGGCTGAATCATTTGATGTGATATCCTTGTATATCAATGTACAGAATGACGACGCCTCACAAGCGGTATCCAAAATGTTGGATGAATTTAGTGCAAGTGTTCAGACCTTTGGGTTGAGCAAACGTCACATCATGGTCCTGATCAAAGAATGTCTAGATTGTAATACCTTTCGATGGTCAGGTACCTACTTCGCTCAACTAAGGGGACTTGCAATGGGACAACGTCTTGCTCCAGTACTTGCGATATGCTTTATGAGTAAGGTCGAGAAACCTGTGCTGTCAAGACTTCCACTTATGTACTGTCGTTACGTGGACGATTGCTGCATTAGTAACATCTAATCAGTCCGAAATGGACGAGTGTTTCCGTTTGCTCAATCAGCAATCGCAGTACATAAGGTTCACGCGTGAACAGCCGGTTGACGGTTGGCTTCCGCACTTGAACGTTCAGATCAAACTGTCTGGCTGTAGCGCAAATGTTAAATGGTATCGTAAAAGCAGCTCTAAAAACATCCTGTTGCAGGCTCGTTCGGCACATCCATCAGCCGTTAAGAATGCCGTCATTCGAAATATGATAAGAACAGCAACACAAGTTTGTACGGGAGCAGAAGGACAGAAAGAGTCGCGAAATGTCGCGCTGAGCATTGCGAAAGGAAATGGCTATCTGATGCATCATACTCATGGTAGACCATGTTCTTTGCGTAATGCTGCTCAGCAAAACAACAAAATAGCGCTCTGTCTTCCTTTCGTCTCAGATGAAATTAGTGTTGCAATACGACAGAGCATTAAACGAGCACAGTTGAGCAGCGATGTCATTTTAGTGAACGTTCCGAGCGATAATCTGAAGAAACGGCTTGTACGAAACAGGCTCTATGACAAATACTGTATCTCGAAAGAGTGCGTAGTTTGTCCTCATAACAGCATCGGAGATTGCGCTAAAACAGGAGTGATATATCAGTTAGAGTGTTTAGTTTGTGGTGCTAGTTATAAGTGCATAGCCGTTACAAATGACTTCATGCCGTTTTTATCATTATGTGGGCTATGATAGGGTAGTGCGATGATTTCATCTACAAGTCACTAAACGTGACTTATTGGCACTACTGTCATCAAGGATACGGTCGCACCATAACATCAAGTGCACCGGCGGTGAAGCAAAGGTGTGTTCGTCTTTCTCATCCTGCGATTTTGCTTGTAAAACTCTAGAGGGGATCGAGAAGCTAGCCAAGGGTTGATAAAGCACTTGGTGGGGCAGACATAAGATCCATAATCCCGCACCGCTTTAGGCCTCTGAAGACGACGAGTAGTCGAAACGTTAGGCCACTGATGTTAATAAAGCTTCACCCAAACCTCGTGCTGGCAAAGCAATACTGACACAATTTCAAACATGCCGAGGTTTCAACAAGAGAGGACAAAAGACTTATCCCAAGCATCCTTCTTTGCTATTGATCGTCGGTTTTCTGAATAAGATAAGTAGTATGTAGTGCCTAAGTTTTTGCTTTAAGTTGTATAATTTGGTCATCTCCGACCTGCTCACGTACCCCTACATGATAAGGTGAATAGTGTAGCAAGATGAAAAAGGTTTTAGGTTTTATGTGTGGTGTTATACATGTAGGTGCCAATTCTCGCTCCAGGCATTATTTTCCAGACATCATTCAGTTTAAGATCGTGCAACTATAAAAACCATGTATAATAATCTTTTTCAAAAAAGCTTAGCTGCGCTATGTACGGTCCTTGAACTAAAAAGGTTATGGATAGTAAAATCTTCTTTTCTCCTGTCAACAGCCAAAATTAAGCTTGACTTCAGATGCGTCAAATGCTTTCAAATCGCATCTTACTCGAACACGTGTTTAGTCTCTAACCTCACCCTCGCGTCAGCAGACTGTGTGTATGTAACGTAGTTTTAGATTATCTGGATATGCATTATGCGAGCGATATATTTCCGAATCTTATCTCTGTCATCTTTATTTCCTCGCCGTGTGTGTTGTCAAATCTCCGTTCCATTCGCATCCGTTGTTATTCTGCCCAATGATCACAATAAAAAATAGTCAAGCCTTTGACCTCATAGTTCATTTTCTTGCTAATTTCTAGCTCATCAATTTGTGTCTCATCAATATTTAATTTTGACTGCTTTCAAGACTAAGCCACTGTCTGGATAAACTTGGAGCAATTCCCTCTCCATACCTTCTCTACTCTTCAACAAACTGTACTTTGACTGAACTTTTATTGCTCACTCCTCATTTGCATGCGTTGATTGGACCCCGATGTTATATTACAGTTGTTTCGCAATACTCATAGTTAACGTAAACTTTCTCTTCGTAACTCACTCCTATATGAGCCTCGAGTCGACCACTCAGTGAAATCGAAATTTGCTCTCTTATATCCCATGTCATTTGAGGTGTCCTTCGAATGGTGGTGGTACGATGACTGCGGTTCCACTACAAAGGCAAGTTCCTGCTCAGATAACGTATCCACTCTTTTTAGAATGTTTTCATATGTACATTCAATAATTTACATCCTCGTTGTGTCCATTCTGTTTCGCTCGATGACCATGTGTACGCAAAATTTATAGATTGATTATTCGCGTTGAGAGGATTAAGATACCCTTTTCACACAAAAGTTGAAATAATGTATTGAGCATCGTTGCTTCAGTTCCTATGCAGTCATTTCTTATTCAGTCATCCAGTTTTGAAAATCTTGTTAGCCGAGAGTACTATTCATAATCTCATAACATTGGGCAGGCAGCGTAGAAATAGAATAAACAGTTCCTGATGCTTCGTTTACAATTTTTGATCCGCACTTCTTCCAAGTGTGCCTTGCTACAAATTTGAGACAACAACAAAGTAAATCTTTCTAAATCTTTCAGATTTAAGCTTTATCCGTCTAGCTAGGGACTGTTTCCGTCACATAATATAAGAGATCAGGATGTGTTTAGTTTTAGTAATCATAAATTCGATGGGTATTTTGCTGAGCGCATTCAGGCATGTATTCCTCATTCTATTCTAGTCCACAGACGAAACGCATATATGCATCCATCTGCACTTAGAAGGTTAATATCAATTTTGTTCTTTGTTTTAATAGCGTTACATAGAGCTAAGACACATTTGAAGCTCTCTTATATGTTGTGCTACACAGTAAAAGTAGTTTTTGGCATCTTGACTGGTTATTGCTAAATGAAAAAAGAAGCAAAATTAACGAATCATCGGACGCAAAAAGCTAAATCTTTTGCTCAAAATCTTCGCTGGGCTAGAACACTTGATATCTTGTATTGATCTTGTTCAAATTTTCGCTGTTCATCAGTTCTCAAAAATACTATAATTAAACGTCAGTGTGCATCGAATCTCGAATCAAATATGTTTACAAGAGTGAGTTACGTTCGCTGCATTCTATTTTATTGGTCTATAACCTACAGATTTGTTTCATAGGGCACTCACCAGACGGGGTTATCAAATTGTTATTTGTTCGATTACCACTTCCAATTATCCTTGTGCACTCCTCAGAGTTTACATCCGCATCTGTACCATCAAATCCCGTAAAAATAGTCAGAGATGCATCTTTTCGCTTTGTGAGTCTTACAGAGTCAGCTCTTCCTTTTTATTTTACGCGAACTTTTTGAATTATTTTACTTATAAGTATTGGAACTATTAAAAACGTAAAAAGTAAGAGCAAAGCCTCGCACATATTTTATTCATACCTTTCATACTTTCACCGTTCTAAACGTCACCAATTCTTTTGTACTAAAAATGACGTATGTACTTGATTTAGTTTAACAAAGAATGTGACTAACATACTAGTTCATTATTACTAATCCAAATGAAGTCGTGGATTTTGTGTTGTCAGAGTAATAAACCTTCCCATTCACGTCAGAAATTGCGATTTATGTGTAACTAGCTGGCATACCCGGCTCCGCCGTATCCGGACCAAACTTGGCACACATACACTTCGGGCCCTGGCGGGTGTCACAGTCCACTTTTCGTTATCGATCGATGTCGATTTTACCGATTTTTATCGATTTTTTTGCAGAGTTCACTTACAGGGCTAGGAGTTGGCACAGGGGGCGAAGTGAGCATGGGGATTCCGAATACAACATTAGTTTTCAGGATCGTCCATTACTTTTATCGATTTTATCGATTTTTTTTGTAAAGTTTGACCTGCGGGGCTGGGAGTTTGCACAGGGGGGTAATCGAGCATGCTGATTACGAACACAATATTAGTTTTCAGGATCGTCCATTACTTTTATCGATTTTATCGATTTTTTTTTGTAAAGTTTGACCTGCGGGGCTGGGAGTTTGCACAGGGGGGTAATCGAGCATGCAGATTACGAACACAATATTAGTTTTCAGGATCGTCCATTACTTTTTCGATTTTATCGATTTTTTGAAAATTTGAGCTAGGGGGCTGGAATTTGGCACAGGAGTGTAATCCAGCATTCAGCATGCTCGATTACCCCCCTGTACCAACTCCCAGCCCCCTAGCTAAAACTTTGCAAAAAAATCGATAAAATCGATAAAAGTAATCGATAATCCTGAAACCCAATATTGTATTCGGAATCCCCATGCTCGATTACCCCCCTGTGCGAACTCCCAGCCCCGTAGCTCAAACTTTGCAAAAAAATCGATAAAATCGATAAAAGTAATCGATAATCCTGAAACCCAATATTGTATTCGGAATCCCCATACTCGATTACCCCCCTGTGCCAACTCCCAGCCCCGTAGGTGAACTCAGCAAAAAAATCGATAAAAATCGATAAAATCGATATCGATCGATGACGAAAAGTAGCCTATGACACCCGCCGGGGCCCGAAGTGTATGTGTGCCAAGTTTGGTCCGGATCGGTTCAGAAATGGAATTTTCTATTCGGAACATACGTACACACAGACATACATACAGACAGACAGACAGACATACAGACAAACAGACATTCAGCTTTATATATAAGATAATACTCCCTACTGGTATAAGGCCTGCGCGATTAATAGTTGGTGAGTTTGCGGCCGTTGCACACGCGGGGCCACAATCCTCCAACCACTCCAACAATCCCGTACTTTTCAAAATCGCTTTAGGTAATTGGAAGCTAACATCCTATAACAGAAAGTGTCTGAAAGGTGAAAGATAGTAGGGGAAGCACAATGCGCGTGCAGTGGCCGCAAGCTCACGGACTCCCGCGATCACGCAGAGCCCCCTTGCCTGATAGGGATTGGGCTTGAAATCAGCTTAGGGTTGAAAGCTAGCTTAAAGCAGAAACAATACAAAAAAGCACATGGGTTGATAGATTTTGTCAAGTTTTTTCTTCCTGGTGAAGTAATTAGAAATTGATTTGAAATATGTATGGTCCAAAGTGTAGTTTGCACTGCAAGAAAAATTATTTTGTTTTTAATCTCGTTTTCTACTTTATAAATTCCTTTTTCAGCGTGCTTCATTTGCTTTATCTTGATGCGGATTATGTAAATAGGGTTGTTCCACCAGTTTTCCATGACTGTCCTGCTGAATTTATTCCGGGGAAGGATGGAAAATACGCTCTGTGCAACATCACCACCGAGGATACTCCATGCGAACTTCTGAGAGTAAGAATTAGAAGAATATTGAAATTTTCTCAAGGCAAATTCTAGGAGCTACACAAAGCGAAAAATTTCCGATTCTATGGATTTACCCTAGTTCCTGTAATCCTATCCGTTTTAGCAATGCTACTCAATATAATTTATTTGATTATGCAATTACGAATATATTTCAGAGAAGATGAAAGGTATGTTGCTATTATTGGTTTTCGCTACTGGTATTTTCAATGGTGTAATGTCACCCATATTGTTTTCAGTGCAAGAAAGAGATATTTATTTCTGATAAGCCGATCTCTCAGTACCATTATGTCCCTCATCTTACTATATGTCGTACTTATTTGTTGGCAAGCAAAAGGATTTGCCTACGCAAGTACTATGATTTTTATGCTACTTGGAAGTCTAAATTTCCTTTCGATTACAGGTAACGCTTCCTTTCGCAAATTTCAGATTTTAAAATTTTTTGAGAAATTAGAATGTGAACCGCCAAATATTTGTCGTTGTATATTTTTCTGTGAAAACAATTTGCGACATTGTTTTTGAGTCTTTACAGCAAAAAACTATGAGGTTGACCCTTTGATGTAAAATCCAAATCAAAGAAGACAGCCACACATTGCTTCAAAAAGTACAGCTAAGCTTAAGCTGGAAAAAAAGATCCAATTATGTCTTCACTACTACTTCTCTAAAAGTCCATTCATTCCAGGTACCTACGTAGCATTAACCGTTCTGCTTTACACGGCAATCGTTTTTCCTTTCTACTATAGAGAGATAACCATCAGAAACTGTTATTTGTTGATTTCCTTGATCTGGTCAATCTCATTGTTAGCATCTGTGAGTGTTTTGAAATAATCTTGAATTCTACAGTTTTCAAAGATAAGTGATTTTTAGACCTGTGTAGGACTTTGGGGCGCAACGCTATTCTACCCGGATACTGCTCCGTTACCGTGCACTTTCGAGGGTTGCCAAGTACCAGTGGTGATGCTACTCGGTCGGTAAATTTAAGTGCAATAAACCTTTGATTCAACTGGCTTGGCAGCTGAAAGGCAGGGCTTCGTGACCCTGCCTTTCAGCTGCTATTAAGGCTAGGAGTGATCAGAGAGAGCGCGCAAGGGAGAGACGCAGACTGCGTTGCGGGCGCGAGCGGCCTTAACTAGGACGCAAAGCCCCGCCTTCCAGTCGCCAGGCCAAGGTTATCTACATAAAAGGCTTGTAAATCTCTCTGCTACCACGAAGAGTTTTGCAGAGCTTCTTTCGTGAAAGAAAAAGTTTGTAGAAGAAGTGTTTTATGAACATGAGTCTAATGAATTTCAGGAAGTGGCCTTGCTTTGTCGTGCGGATCCGTTTTGGGGATTTATGCTACTCTCATTATCGAATTACAAATCCGACTGCGTCGGCGAGGATCGCTGGGCGGAAGCGTAAAGGTACATTCTTACCAAAAAATCTCACTAAAATTTCCCACAGTCCTTTTCCTTTCCGATTAGAACAGAACATAGTAACGCGCCCAAAGCGTAGACATTTATCCTGCACCAGGGCGTACCGAGGGGGAGGGGAAGCGCTTCCAACTTCCCCCCCCCCCCCCCTCCCGAAATTTTTGCAAGTTGCTTGAGTTATAAAAGGTGCAAGTTACTTATTTGTGCTTATAAGTAACTAAAATAATATTTAGAAATTTTTCAATAATTCAATTTAGCCTAATTTTGGGGTTATGGGCCAGCAAAAATTTTGAGAAGCGTAACAAAAACTTTTTCTGGGTGCTTGGCGTTAGCCACGCACCTTAATCAGAATTTTTTTTGTCGTCTTCCCCCCCCCCCCCCGCACGGAAATCCTGGTACGCCACTGTCATGCACAGATTTTATCTCTTTACAGTGTGGACGTCATGACGAGTGCCAAAAGAGTCATATACGAGCAATGAAGGGGCTTGGCATAAATATGATGACTTTCGCCATTGGATCGGTCCCCATACTCATCGTTTATCTTGTGGCTTTGTGGAATTTGGATAGCCTTGCTTCGTTAGGTCGGTCATCTGCATAATAACGAAGGAAACGGGAACGGAAACGTAGATTACAAATTGTCGTCTGATTATGAATCATTTTTGCCCTTATCAAAGATTTTCAAATATCTCGTGTCATCATCTATAGAATCTTCTCATGGTAAATGCCCATAAATTAATTATCTAACTTAAAGCTGAAAGTCAACGTTTGTGTTTTAAAAAATTCTTCGCAGCTTTTCTGAGCCGTATTAACAACTATTGAGTTCAAATTGCGAGAGCTGTTTCATGCACAAATCCGTCCAAACCAACTCAGCTTGAAAAATAATGGAACACCTCAAACGCAGAAACTTTTGTCCGAAAGGTACATAGAAATTCGAAAATGTTGGGTTTAGTAGGCCTTAGCAAAACTTAGCAAGTGCGTAATGGGCATATACCACATCCTGAAACATTCCGAGGACAAAATCTAAAAACTATTTTTGCTAAAAATTCTTTGACTTCTTTAGGAGAAGGAGAAAAATCACCATGCAAAACTTACTTGAACGGTCGATTATTCGTTAAGGTCGAAATACTGGCAGCTACAGCTGCTATCGTATGGTGAGCAATTATACTTTTTATACTTAGCATTCATTTTTTATTATGATCTACGAAAACCCTATTTTAGGTTGATAGCCATGATATTGGATCCCATAATCAATACCGTTGCTGATCGAAAAATCATGTCTATGATGAAGAATTGGGTAAGACTCGCAATTCACCTATATAGGCAAAAATATTCAACGAAACATTTTTTAGACGCGATATTTTCGAAAAACCGTGAAATCGGGTTCATCGGATGCTAGGTTTTAAATGTTATTGCTGTGTTTGACAGATTTCGATTGACATTGAGCCAAATGTTTACGAATTTGATATCACTCGCACTATCAAAAGACTATCTTTAACATTCATGTTCAAATTGATTCGTAGTAACGAGACAAGCCACGGGAATATCTACTACATCTCCTTACAAACTTCAAATTATTTAAAACGTGGAGAAACACAAATTATGTGCTATTCGATGTCCTGTTGGCAATAAAAATTGCTGCTTTCGATACGCTTTTTGAATCACAAAACCAGCTACAGCAGAAACCAAATCTTCACTGACAAAGTCTGTGGAAGTCGGGATTTCTCACTAACTCTTGAACCAAAGTAAGTCGTTCTTTTGCAAACTCCCTAATATGAGAAATTCGCATGCTGTATACGAACCTTCATCATGAACTGGCAGACTTTTCTGTTCATTGTAATCGATGACTGATCATAATACAGGGTGTCCCAAAAGTATGTATACGCTGTTTGATGGTTGACATCTCTTTTCCCAAGAAGTGTTTTGCTTACCTTTTGGAACCATTTTATAGAGCTGGGCTTCAACTCAAATTTACAGTATAGATCAAATCACCGTTCGCTCTTCATTACTGTAGGAATACGGTAAAAATTCAAGAAAGGTTGTGAGCCATCAAGGCCCTTATTTCGCCTCAGGAAGCAAGCCGAACAACAAGAGAACTTATGCTACGCCAACTGAAGCCAAATACAATCAAATATGATGTTTGCACTTTACCGCAATTTTTCCCTTATAAGTTATGCCAGATAGAGAGCGCAATAGCTGTTTTTACAGGACTCCATAAAATCGTGAATACACCAAAAGTTGGATAATAAATCAGCAAGCTTGAAAACCTTAGTACATCACTTTTCAAATTTTTTTGGAAACTATTTTTGAAACATTGCAAGTCCGTAGTGACGCTATAAGCTGAAAGTTCCTACCGTAATCTTACAGTAGTGAAGAAAGATCCATGATTCGCTCCATACTGCAAATCTAAGTTGAGCCAGCTCTACAAAATCGTGCTTAGAGGTAAGCAAAAGATCTTGGGAAAAGAGATATCAACGATCAAACAGTGTATACATACTCTTGGGACACCCTGTATTATTATTATTAAGTCGTTCCATAAATTCGTAGCGTTTTCATTTTCGTCCTCATACCTTTGAGGAGCGGTTGATTTGCGGCAAGATGCGTATAACATGAGGAATGGCTGTTTGTGTTCTTTAAAACATGTCCGTTAATTTCGGCGGAGAGCTGATTCACCCCGACATCGTACCTTCCAAAGTTGGAAATCAAGTACAGATCAAATATATAAAATATAGAAATAAAATAATAATAAAAATAATAATAATAAAATATAAATATATCGAATACAGCAAGGCTACTGTAAGCAACATCAGTGTGTTGCGTACAGTCGTTTTCAATACGTATTGGTTTTTTCTACCGTATGCTTTCCAGCCTCAACATAACGTGGATTGGCTTGGTTTGGTGTGGATTGGTGCGGCGCCGCCGAGAAAAGAAACGCGGCGCAAACCCGAAGCGATGCGGCGCCTCACCAATCCATATCAATCCACACCAATCCACACCAATACGTCATGTTGAGGCTGGAAGGCATACGGTAGAAAAAACCAAAACGTATTAAAAACAACTGTATACCCTGCAGCAGCCAAGCTACTGTGAACGTCATTACCACAGCTGTGTTGCACGATACCATGCAGCACCAGTGCTACTGTTAGCAGATTAATTCTGTGCTGCACATCAGCATGCATCACCAAAGCTACTGTAAGCAGCATCAATTTTTGTGTTGGACGTCACCATGCAGCAATCTGCAAGTATTTTCACAAAATTAATTAGTGCGCTGTCGTAACTAGTAGAGCGGATGTTGCTAGCTGGCGCACCATCAGCTTACAGCTGTTCTCCAGCATCTCTTTTATCGCTATCACTTACGCACTATGTGTCAGTTGCAAGACTTTAAGTTGGCCACGTCACTCACCAATACAGTGAAAATGCCAAATCCTTATCTCTTGTTTCACTTACGTACTTATATGTTCCGAATAAGGACAGTCGTATACATGTGAGAGAACACGCAATAAGGGAGAGTCAGTAGCGGGTTCGGGGAACGAAACTCATATTGCTAATACTCGTATGCGTATTTGCGAGATTGGCTTGCTAAGTGTAAAAATTGAAGGCCGCAAACATTATCTCCCTTTTTCGCTTTGGACGAAGCTTTTCTCAGCGTCGCAGCTTGAATCCAGTGCTAAGAAAGTCGCCATATGTTCCGTTGATTTATATGCTCCAAAAAAGTGATTTTCTGGCATCGACAATAACTCAAAACATATGATAATACACATCTGTGCAATAACAAATGATAATCATAAAGCATTTTTCGACGCCAGTGGTACCTCCACATGCAATCAAGATGCTACTGAATACTTCTAGCTGCATTTTGTATTATGGTTTCGCCCTGCATGGTGTGGCCACCTTGCATAGTATTAGGTTGTAACAGAATTAATGCAGGTTTTCTGAATTTTGTGTTTGGATCACTATAACTTTTTACACAAGTAGTCTTTTCGAATGCAGCGAGAATCGTTGTAATCAGCAAACCTTTCTCAACTCAATATGCATTATTTTGTTGTTGTAGCTTCATTGAGAAAAATCTTATAGCCCGAATTCTGCCAAGAATTTTTTCGGAAAACCTTCACCTTGAGAGACCATAACTTACTATCAAATGTAGTAAGGTAGCGCAAATATAACTCACTGTGTAGTCTATGATCGGTTGTGCAGCAGGGCCGAATTCGGAATTGAAAAAGAATTCTTTGCGAGAGGATATTTGAAAAAATTTTGAAAGTACTCATTTTTTCGACTTTTCTGAGAATTTGAAAAATCGCTTTTCTGGAACTTTTGAATTTTTTCAAAGCTGAATAGGGAGAACGGCTCCCGATTTTTTCAGCCATAAATGTCTTAAACCTATTCTTCCTATGTAAAGCCGAAGCTCCGCAGTCGCTTCGCGCTGAGGATTTTTATGTAGGGCAGACAGACCACAGTGACCGTTAAATTTTGCTCTGAAATTTCTCGGCTCAGATGTTTTTAGAATTCATGATTCAGCATGCATTTTATAACATAGCTCACTCAAAAATACTATGTAAATTTGCAGCGAATTCCGATTGTTCTGGTGGTTTTAGAGCCAGGTATGTTGAGAGAGAGAATTTCGAGGTTTGGTTTCTTGAGTTCATGGGCTCAGAGCTTCAAGACAAATTCACTTCCACTGCAACGAAAGAATGCATAAGAAATTAGAAGAAAAGAGCTTTTAAATGACATGCAAGATTCTCTGGGAGGGCAGTTTTTCTTTCTAAACCAGCATTCTGAAAAAGGTGAGCGAAAAACCTGCATTAATTCTGTTACAACCTAATATATCCTATCCGTTTTGATGAGTTATTCTGTCTGATAGTTACACACGAAAAGCGATAGTTCTCGCACTACAGACAACATCTACATCAGAATTACTATCAAAGCAGTATAACTGACTTAACCTATCCTTGTCAGTTGTAACTTAATACTAAACGCGGCGACCGACGTACTCTCATCGAAAAGTTCTCAGTAAAATCTTTTTCAGCGTAACAAACTGCAGAAACTGTAAACTACTAATCGATGAAATTGAATCAAATGAGGCAGGAATGCAAGAGAAATTATTGGAAATGAACAGGTTAATCCTATAGATTTAACAAGTATTGCGCATAGTGTGCAGCAAGCGTATCGTGTCACAAATTGACTCGAAGATACTTGAGAAATTCCGAAATGTCAGATATTTACTACCGAACTTAAGGTAAATTTGTTTTTTGTTTTTTTTCATGGATCCGTCATAAGAAATCCATACTTTTTCTTAATTTCTTTGATTGACTAATATCCACTCTTATAATTCTGCTGATTCGAACCTGCTTGAATATAGCACCAAGCACTTGTTGATGATCGAAAATTTCAAAAAGTAGTGCTATCTGCTAGTTGTAAGCTACTGCAAGCACTTTTTGAAACTGAGTAAGTGAGCAACGAGGCAGTTGCACTTACTTACGAGAAAGATCAAAGTCATAATGTTAGCAGAATAAATTGCTATCATTCTCTGTGTAGGTAAGAGATCAATTCAACATAACTAGGTATATTCAATGTGCCGGAGGGCAAACATAAAATCTATATCCAGCTGATCTGCACCATTGCACCGGAAGATTCATAGAATGAAGACCACAAATTTTCGGGGTGTATGTCAAGAGGCGCGATTTTTATTGCCAGATGAACACCAAATAGCATATAATAAGTGTTTTATAACATTCTAGAAGTATTTAAACTTTAGAAGGAGATATATCAGGTAGTTGCGTGAGTTGCTCAATCTTGCTAACTTGGAATCAATTAACAGCAATTTTGAAGGTCAAAAACCCATGAAAATGCAGTCTAGAACAAAATCGTAAATATTTCGGTCCATTTTCAGCAAAAGTCATCAAACTCAGCAGCTGGTAACCACAGACAGGTAGTAAGCCATGCATTTTATCTGGTACTTTTTGAAGACTTGCACAGCACCAAACTGGAGTACGGAGTTAGTGACAGCCGGAAAAATCGCGCCTCCTGACCATCTCCCAATTTTCGGGACACTCGATACAGACTTTGGGTGTTACCTATCCAATTCTGCTGCTCAACATCTTATTTCAGACGACAACCTTGACCACTCTTATCGTTGCTCTTGAATCACTAGTCCTTGTATCTCTGTGGACTTAAAGGCAGCGTCCAGGCAAGTCTGGACCTATGGGGATTTCATGTGGAAAGTACTTCTGGGGCCCTAACTAAGCCACTGCCCAACCGGCAGCTCAGGTAGTGCCCTAACGGCTGAGATATTCCCTTCGA